GGATGGAGGGATGGATGGATGGAGGGATGGATGGATGGATGGATGGAGGGATGGATGGATGGATGGATGTTAAGGATCTTACCCTCCCTGCCTTTCCTTTAAATAATTTCTATCATTAATTACTAGGTGTTAATTCAGATATTCCTAATCTTGATCTATACCTGCTATCAGCTATATGGCTTCTTTTATGTTCTGTTTAATGAAGCTTTTTAAGGAAATTAGAGAACTCATAATTTCTTCAACTTACATTTCTGACTTCCAGACTACATAAATCAGTGTATTTCCTAAAACTTGACTTTAAAAGCTTTAGTCATGCTTTGTTCATTGACGCTTATAAGGGTTGGTTTAGCAAAATTTAAAGTTTCAGTGACTTTCTAATCACTCTCCAACAACAGCAGTCTGCAAAAACTTAACTATGTGTTGGTTAAAATGGAAAACTCCACTGCTGATTATCAATACCCTGCTTACTATTGATTACAACAATTATTTTAAAAGTTAATTAAAACCATTAATTAGAAAAAATAATTAGGACAGTTATATCATTTCCAACAAAACAGACACTGCTCACAAATGATGCTATTCCTTACATTAAGTTGTACCAAGTCAGACATATCAGACCTTGCTACTAAACAATGCAACAAAATAATAGCTGAAATTCATTTTTCCCTGAAATAGTCTCAACGGAAAATTTTTTCAATAGTTTATTAAATAGGTTTACCATTGAAACAATCACAGGCTGTCCATTGCAAAAGGCTGCACCAACTCAGAAGTGTGAAAGCAAATGGAGAATTCTGAACAAGATAATCCTACTTGGGTACACTTTGCTACTGCTTTCACTCAAGTCCACTTGAAACAGGTTAATATAAAGCAAAATAAGTCACTCAAACTGAAATCAGAGTGGGTTTGCACTGCCTTAACTAAATCAGTGCAGGTCTGGCTGTGAATGAAACCTGTGGGTTATGTCTTGTCTCTGCAATAAGATCCTGTGGAGATGGGGCTTCCCTGTGTTTGGGTAAGTAATTAATGCAGTTTAAACCCTATTTATGCCAATTTGGTTTAAACAATATGCAGAAGGTTTGAAGAACGGCTAATAAATGGATCAAGATGGAATTACAGGGAAAAAATATAATCTTCACCTAATCAAAATAATTTTAAAATGTGTTCAAAGGATTCCACTTACACTGTCTTTACGACACTAAGAAGCAAGAAGGAATCTTTCAACTGGTAGATGTTCTGTGAAAGAAACTGAGCTAATCTTTTTTTCTTCTTAAATTAGGAAGAAAAACAGAGTGTTACAGAATGAAGACTCCAAAATATCCATGAAGGAGAATGTTTTGGAACAAATATCCTTTCCTAGTTTTCTTTCTTTCTTCTTCATCCTATTACCCTTCTATTGGTACTTTTATTTTGCATTCAAAGACAGCGTTTTCCAGAGTTCCTTTGGTGTTTTTAATGTTTATTTTTTTTACTTTTAAGAAAATATTTAAGACTTTAAGACTTCAAATTACTTCTTTTGGTACATTACTTTCTTTCTCTGAATTCTGTCAGTAGTGTCACTGTTCAAACTGATTAAAGCCTGAGCCATTACCCATTTTCAGAACATAATAATCCTTATTTTTATCATTACTAATAAAACAATTATCAGTTGTTTTGCTGGGATTAAAAAACAAGCTATCTGGCAATCATATCATAAAACTAGTAATACAAGCTAGAAGAGCTGCAGGTTTCTTGGGTGCCCTCTCTGTTTTTTAAAACACTACCTAACACCACTTCACTATAGCCACAAGAATATCTGTGCAACAAAGGTCTTCAGGCAACATTCAAGACAGAAATCATGGAATCACAGTTTACAATCCAGCTTATTATTGAAGCTGACAGTATTTTATTCATTAGCTTACACAAAAGCTGGAAGAAACAATTTCTCTCTGAGCTATGGGTCAGAAGCACATGTAAGAGTAGCCCAGCTGGCAGTGAAGTTTTGAAATCTTTTACATTTTTGTTGGCATTGATTCTAAACTTTTAATTTTAAATGACAAAGCCATGCCCAAGACAGTTCTTCTAATCAACCTTTTATACTATGAGATTTTTTTTTTTATTTTGGCAGTGCCAATAATTTAAGACGTCAGGATGTATCCAGTAACCAGTGCAGAAAAAAGAAATTAACAATCTTAAAACAACATTCTGTCAGTACCATGCCACACTCCCCTTTGCAAAAGAAAATGTTTTTGCTAACTAAATTTTAATATTTTAAGTGAAAGTTTCTGGAGCTTTAGATTACTAAAGCCAGGGCTCAGACACAGCCAGAGCTGCACCCACAGCCCAGGGTGCCCAAAACTCCTGTGAGGAGCTCCTACAGTGCCCAAAGCCAGAGCTGCACCCACAGCCCAGGGTGTCCAAAACTCCTGTGAGAAGCTCCTTTTGCAGTGCCCAAAGCCAGAGCAGCACCCACAGCCCAGTGTGCCCAAAGCCCCTCCGAGGAGCTGTGGTGTTTGTGAAGGTCCTCAGGATGAGGTAAGAGATGAGAATTTGACTCCACGCTCTCAGAAGACTGATATTGCATTGTATTGTATTATATGAATGCTATAGTAAAACTATACTATAGAAAGAGAAAGGATACAGCAGAAGGCTTCGCAAGAATGACAAAGAAAAACCCGTGACTCCTCAGAGCCTCGACACAGCTAGACCATGATTGGTCATTAAATTAAAACAATTCACATGCTGGGTAAACAATCTCATTCCAAAGCAGCAAAGCAGGGAGAAGTTGAAGCTTCCCGGGAGAAGAAATCCTGGCAAAGGGATTTTTCAGAGAATATCATGGTGACATGAAGCTCCTTCTGCAGCACCCAGACAAAGCCAGCACTGCACTCACAGCCCAGTGTGCCCAAAGCCCCTCTGAGGAGCTGTGGTGTTTGTGAGGGTCCCCAGGACGAGGTTAGAGATGAGAATTTGACTCCAGGTTCTCAGAAGGCTGATTTATTATTTTATGGTATTATATTCTATTAAAAGAAGGCTATACTAAAGCTAAACTATAGAAAGAGAAAGGATACATCAGAAGGCTTCACAAGAATAATAAAGAAAAACATGTGCCTCCTCAGAGCAGTTGGACCATGATTGGTCATTAAATTAAAACAATTCACATGCTGGGTAAACAATCTCATTCCAAAGCAGCAAAACAGGGAGAAGGTGTAGCTTCCCAGGAGAAAAAATCCTGGTGAAGGGATTTTACAGAAATTATCACGGTGACATGGAGCTCCTTCTCCAGAGCAGCACCCACAGCCCAGTATGCCCCAAGCACTGAGGAGCTCCTGCAGTGCCCAGGCAAAGCCAGAGGGGCGCCCACAGCTCCGTGTGCCCGAAGCCTCTCTCAGGAGCTCTTTCTGCAGCGCCCAGACAAAGCCAGGACTCCAACCACAGCCCGGTGTGCCCGAAGCGCTGAGGAGCTCCTGCAGCGCCCACACAAAGCCAGCAGTGAACCCACAGCCCGGTGCGCCCGCAGCCCCTGTGAGGAGCACCTGAAGGCAGCCCCGCAGGCACAGCCCGGTGTGCCCCAAGCCCCCCAGAGGAGCTCCTGCAGTGCCCAGTCACAGCCAGCACTGCACCCACAGCCTGCTGCGCTCTAAGCCCCTCCAATGGCTCCCCCGAACAAAGAGGTGCCCGGCCCAGCCCTCGCCCCGCGCACCCTCAGAGCCGCCCGGCCCGGCCGCGCCTCGCCAGCCCCGGGCTCCCCCACAGCGGCTCCACCCTGAGCTCTGCCACACCGCCCTTACTGGCCCTGCCTTTCACTTTCACTTCCTCGAGTTTGCAATGCCCGGGAAAGAATGCCCAGGAAAGCCACCACTAATGCAGCAGCAATGCATTTCATCCCAGCAGCACGGCACCTTCAGCGCTCAGCTCAACAGCCCTTTCTGCTGCCACCAATTGCTCTCAGAAATCTCATTCTTCCTTTGCCAACACTTGCAGCATACAAAACCCAAGTAGTATTAAAATCCTGCCTCTTTTCCTGCCAAATAATTTGATTACTTTATTTCATTTCAATACTTGCTTGACAAATCCAACTCTGGAAATGCTAAGGCCTGGTCTAATGTTTACAAGAACTCATTTCAGCAAGTCTTACTACACAGAATAATCACAGAATGAAATGAAGACAAATAAAACTCATCCATGTATTTGGATGTTTTTGACTGTTACATACATAAAATCTGTGTAGCTAACGGGACTCCAGAATACTGCCAAGAGGGAAACAAAACAGGAAGAACAGGTCAATACAAAAGGATTTGCTATAAGCATTTTTCTGTGTATTTTACCTTCCAGTGCATAATTATTACCTGCTAATATGTATATCCAAACAAGCTGGCTAAAAAGAATGGCATCATTTTGCTGAAATTGCTTTCAACTGATGGATATTTTAATCTTTCTAATTGATTTAAGTTACAACCCAATCCTAAGGCATGAGATGCCTTAAGCAAAGGACACTCACTCATTTACAGCAAATTAAGGTACTCTTAGAGTAACACATCACAGCTTCATGGGAAATTATTTGATATTTTTTAGATTATTGTAATTTAGACAAATGAGTAAACAGTCCACTGAATCACAGGATAGAGAAAATGATTGGCAATTACATTACTTGAAAGAATGTTACCAGAACAAAATGGTTAAGCAGCACATTTCTAAGAAAGCGACATTTTACAAAAAGACAAAGGCATATATTTTCCACCAAAATCTAGAGCTGCTGTCATCAACAACCCAACAAAAGCTACAGCTACCTAAAATGGAAATGAAAATGTAATGTATGGAAATATTCTCTTATAAAATCTCCTTAGGCTTCACATGTATTAATGTATTAGTTTGCAAACATTAAGATCAAAGGCGAAGCAACAAATACATCCTAAAAAGTTTTTAGTCAGATTTTTATTAACGATATACAAGTAGCAAGGCATAAAAAATTAATATGTTCAAGCCTTGAAATGTCAAGTGTAATGATCTCTAGCTCTGCTTACCTCCTTTGCTTTTTGTTTCAGTCTAGCTTGCTCTGGGTCTTCTTGCCTTGAGCGACTCTACATGTTTAAAAAAAATGGGGAAAAAAGGTTAACAGATGGTTTAAGAACCCCTCATCTGTTGCAGTAAGTTAAAAAATAGCAAAGAAATAGGAACAGCATACAAGGTATCAAACATAGGACACCTAAATTGACAGAAGTGCAATTTCAAACCCATGAGCTCACCCAAAATGAGGTTAAATGCTCAGTGGCAAATGAAATACAGTCAAATATACAGTTGTTTTTGGTGAAAAAACACCAAAACAAACCAAACAAAAAAAAAACAAACCCCAAAAGACCCCAAAATCAAACCACAAAAACAAAAACAACAACAACAAAAAAAGAACCCCTAACAAAAAACAACAAAAACCCAAACCAAAACCAGAAAAAAACAACCCAACCATGCTTTTGTCAATGTGAAAGTTTCCATACAGGTTTGGATTTCAATTATTTAATACTAACAGATTCAAGCATCCAAGAGCAGAAGTTACACCCTTTCCATTATCCAAACTTTTAAATTTAGGTCCTTACAATCACATATTTTAAAATTTACTGTTTGCAACTAAGTTTGTATTTAGGTCTTGGTAGAGCACGTGAAAAAACCACTGCAGAGTTGCCCTCCCAAAAGGTAAATCTTTATTATAAAGACATTACTATTCCATATGAGCTTACTTTGAGTACAGCATAGAAATACATTCTGTTAAACCCATTCATGCAGTACTAATAATATTAATGTTGTCAATATTAAAACTGGATAAATATTGCTAAATGACAACTTTTGTATTTTCCTTCAAAACCAGGAACAGCTCTAAAAGCAGATCATTTAATCACAATAACAACCTGTAACATTTCTTTAGACACAGGGTATTTTATAACCACATGTTAAAAAACCATTAAATTTATATTTGTGCTCACTACACATCTCAGACTGATGGAATTCAAAACTCAAGAGGCAGATAATACACACATTATACTTTTATAAATGTGTGATAGGTCAGCATTCAGCAAATGTAGCATTAAAAGTTACAAGAAGCTCCAAAAACACTTGTGACATCCATGGAAAACTGTTGTTCTTGATACCTGAGAGATATCGTAGTTCTGCTTCAGAATTTCTTTGAGATTTAAAGTGGAATCATTTACCCAACTCCTACAGGAGTGTCTGTGCCCTCTCCTACCTGTTGTTCCCTGCTTGTTGCTATGCTGAAGGCAGAAACTTGAAAGAGTATTTGTTTGCAAAGTTATATATTCTCAGATTTTTTCCCAGTGTTTACATTTTTCATACCATATTCTGGTCAGAATTCAAAAATCCATTAGGAAACCAAAGGGAGATAGGTTTTAAGGACTTGCACTTACAAGGGTTGGGCGCTATTTTTGATACACCTGGGGAGTGCCTTGGCTTGATCTGGCACAGAATTCTGTATCCTTTCTCCTGTCAGTTTTGTGCGTTTGGTTGGTTTTGTTTGAACCGGGATTGTTTTTTCCAGCTAATATAGCACACCTATAAAACACAGTGCTGATAACACAGGGTGACATCAAACAATAATGAGATTTTTAGATGTACTGAACTCTTCCAGTGTGCACATCAGCTTCACCTTCCAACAACATCTGCAAGTGCTTTTGTGTCTGCTGGCATAGGAGGGTCTTGGACAGGGCAGTGTCTGCAACAACTGAATGCCAAATTGAGCTCTGAGGTGGCCAATGACCAAATCTGACTTGTGCCAACCAAAGGAGAAACCCCAAAAATAAAAACTTAGATACTGTAACCTAGTTAATGTTCGAAGGGCAAAAAGGTATTTAATGAAATATGTGGGTCTGCCAGAGAGTTGGGTTCCTAATCAACACAGCAATTAGTAAGAACTTGATTATATTTATGCCTCTTGGGTTAAAAACCAAAGTGACAAAGGCCAGTCAGTGAGCTGCTTCTCCAGCAGATGGGCTCAGGTCAGTATTCATGCACTGAGCTGAACAAGGTCCTTGCTGTCATTTTGCAAGAGCAATTCAATTGTTGGAGCCTCAGTTTCTCCAGCATGATGTATGGAAAAGCATATTTAGCCCTTTCATGGGTTTTGATGATAAATTTATAAATGTACAATGAACTTCTATTGCCTTGTGAGCCTCACAGTGAAAGCAGAACAGAAACACAAAGTACTGTTACACTCCTGTATGAAGCTGAGAATTTGCCAAATGCAAAGTACAAGTTGAAAGCACAGCAGCTTCAGGAGGAAGCAGAGTGTCCTGAGAGAATCCAGCTAAGACTTCTAATATTGTTACTAACTTTCTACAAGGAAATGAGAGAATCCTGGAAAACACACCAGAGGTATGTAGTGTTTGGGGACAGGGTAAGAAAAATTAAAGCAGGAGATGCAAAGTAACTTTGCAATTTCCTGAGCTCCATAAGTGAAGGAAAAACTCTACAGAGTAAAGAACACATTTAAAAGTTGGGGCTTTTTCTTTCTTCCCCAGAAACTGACCAAATAAGAGCAGATCTGGAGTTCAGGATAATCTCAGCATGCAAAAGCAAATCACCTACTCTGTGTAACCCCCCAGCTTGTTCACAGTAAATATATGATAAAAATTATTGCAGAGGTGAAAGCAGGTACTCAGCTCCTGAACAATATCAAATACAGCAATCTTGTTCCAAAAATGAAGATCTAAAATACCAGGTGAAGTTTAATATATAACCCAGATTGAAGGTGAAGATAGAACTATTTTTACATTTAGAATAATGCAATGATTTTCTAATTATTGCCTGAATCCATGCCAATGAGCTTTTCCAAAGAATCCAGGCTAGTTCTTGTTTCAAACAAGCAGAATTCCAACTTTACACAGGATGTATCACTACTACTAAAATAATTAAGGAATTTAACTCTTTTGTGTTCAGATAAATTTTAACAGATTTTTTAAAAGCAGATTTGTGAGACTAAAATACTTTCCTGCTGGTTACCATGCCAGTAAGCTTTAGAAATAAAATCATCAGCATACAGAGGCTAAAATGTATTAAAGGACAAGTAGAAACATCAACTATCTCATTAATTCTTCACTTTATGATCTAATGTAAATTATAAAAGGCTTCACCAATGCTCATGCAACACGGATTAAAGCAAATATAAGCAAATGCAAATGTCAAGCTTAAGAGAGGTGCCTAAATGAGCTTTAGAAATGTCACTGGATTCCCTTTACACTCCATTCCACACGTGAACATCTCTCCCTTCCTCTGAAGAGTTTGCACAATTTTGCTGCTGCTCAGCTCTTGTAGTGCTTTGTCTACATGTCAACATCACCAAGCAATTACTGCACTATTTCACACTTTTGTCAAGCTACTGACTAATCATTCCTAGCTTTTTTTTTTTTTTAATTGCAGTTTAACCTCTTTCTTCCAGTTAATTCACATTTTGGGTTTTTGTTTTTTTTTTTTTTTAACTGCAGTTTAACCTCTTTCTTCCAGTTAATTCATATTTTGGGTTTTTGTTTTTTTGTTTTTTTTTTTTTTTTTAACTGCAGTTTAACCTCTTTCTTCCAGTTAATTCATATTTTGGGTTTTTTCTTCTTTTCCTTTATCTCTAACATCCAAATCTTAATATGCAGCACTTCACCTGTTTTGTGAAAGATTCTTTTCCAAAATCATTTAATGCACCAATGTCTCCTTCCTCTAAACCTTTGGAAACACCCACTGATCAGAGAACCCACCAAATCAAAAACTTTCAAGGACTTTATCACAATTCCTTTGCCTTCCCCTCCCTGTTCATCATGTCTAGATCTGTAAATACAGCAGGCTGCATTTACATAATATTTATTCCTGTTGATGAATAAACACCTTTAAAAGCAAGCAAGCTTCCCATATTAATTTTAGAGAAACCCAGGACTGATCCTAAGCAGATAACATACTTCTAAATATATTAAATGCTGTCTCCTCCTGAGAATGCATTCAGCAAACCAGGTTTGTTAACATTTCTCCCAAACCAGCTATTTTATTAGACCAGACAACCTGATATTTTAATTGTGAAGAACCAAATGCTTTGTGTTACAGAGTTCTTGATCTGGAAACTGAAAACTGCATAGATCACATTATGTCTATGGAAATACAGGACTTCCAAAGTATGAAAAGCAGAGTATGTTAAATGTGTGTATTCAAAACAACAGAAATAAGGGCCTTCATTTGCATGTTACCAAACTCCCTAATGTTCCAAACCTCAGCTCTTCCCCTGGCTTGTGTTAAGGCAGGAGGCCAGAAAAGAGACATCCAATTACACATGGAACAGTGTAGTTTTAAGGGGATTTCAGATTTCACAGAATTGTCTTAAACCAGAAAGCAACAGTGTTTTTAAAATTATAAGGATATTTATAACCCCATCATACTTATAAACATGCACAATATTTTTTTTAAATGGAAGCATACTCTGCATCTATGCAGATGGACAGACTAAAAGTACTCCTGATGTGTTCCATGACCATAATTATTCAATACTTTCCTTGATTATTAATAACAAAGCTGCACTGTTGCTAAATTTTTGATCCACTAACAAAATTAAGTGTTCTGTTTAGATTTGTAAGGACTTAAAAGCCTCAGCTTGTTACACCTGTGCTGTGAAATGCCTCACAGGGTCTCTCCTGCATTTGGCTACATCTGATTCCAACTAAGGCACTTGCAGCTCTACTGCCCCTGACCAATATTTACACTGGGGGTCTTGAATGCCTCAAATTCATCTTTTTGCATTAAATAATGAGAGAGTCACAACTGCAGGTGCTGTGCTATCAAGAGCCACTGCTGTGCCAACAGTTTCAATTTTATACCTATTTTTCCCCATTGATGACATTAGAACTTCACCCACGGCTGTACCAGCTTATAACTTTCACTTTTAATTAAAGAAATTAAATTGGCAACATGAAACACTTTGCTTTCACGTTAGCTTTGTTAATAAAAAGTGAAAGTTAAAAGCATCATAGCTGAGGGTAAAACTCTGCTCAGTGTTACAACCATGGTGAGGTGGAATGCAGAAGCACAAGTCTGAAAAATGATTTAT